ATTCACCAATCTCCCGAGACCCTCCACCCCCATATAACAATAAACAAAAAAAAATGTAAAAATTGCAAACTGCATACTTCTCTCCTGCAACATGTGACAGAACGAGTAAGCATCATAAAATAGCAAAGTTTAATTTCAGTAGTTTAAAAACCTAATAAGTAGTTGGAGTCAATCAAAATAACTCAGTTATTAATCGTAATAATCATAAAGATAAACTTGCATGTGCAACTTGAATCAGACTCACATAATCAAAGAGTGTTTGTAAGATAGCACCGAACCAGAGGAAATAAGGAAAATCCTTAACAAATCGCAATACACGAAGTCTTGTGATCTTGACGGCAACAATCTCAAAGGTATAATATTGCTTCACTGCAACAAAAATAAAAATAAAAATGAAAGATAATTTTTTTTACTGACAGCCAGAAACTCAAAGGTGTTATATTTAAAAATTATTTATACAATGGTGTATCAAGTGGGGAGTTAATTTTCATAATCCATATATGAATGCTTTAATTTATTATTTTCAAAAAAGGGGATGAACAAATTGCACTTGAGAAAAGGACAGCAAATGGCCAGGGGCTGTAGGGTTGGCATCTAGGCCGTCATCAATGAAATTTTTTTTTGTATAATTTTATTTATCATTATTTTTAGAGGCCTAGCAGCAAGCAGGTATGGCACTAGGTATGCAACAAATACATGACGACCCTTGCAATGCTAGTGATATTAAAAATGGGAACTATGCACTTGCAGAGCAAGCACATGAGACACATCTTTTGTCAGTTTTTTTTATAGCCTAATTAGCATAAGAACCAAAAAGGAAGGGAAATTTTCAAAAGTTATGGAATACTTTTATGCAGATAAGATTATAAATAATAAAAAGCAAACCTTTGGAACCTTGAGGCCAGCTCTGCTCAAATATCAGCTGTAAGTGGCAGAATGGAACAATCATCATTGCACAGAATGACTGCATCTCTAGAAATTATACTTTATGGGGCACCCTTTGAGAACAAAACATGCATATTGTTCTAGCTGCAAACGACACTCATCATTTTCTGATATTGAGAAATTCCAAAACATGTATTTGCAAAGCATGAAGCTCGAAGTCTGAAGCAAATGAGAGTTACTTTAGAGCAGAAAACTGATTTTATTATTTTCAATTAGTTTAGACAAACACATTGAAAAGTAAGAAATTGTTTATTCATTAAAAAATGATTTTTGAAAACAAAAAAAACTTTAAAAAACAAACCCATTATTGTTGCAATTTCCATTTGTTGGAAAGCCACAATAATTGAAGTCACCTTTAACCCTACTTAGTTGTGGCCACTTTGGGCTGCCTTAATTGCAGTGTCAAGGTTGGTATTTAGTCCTTCATTGACTAGAAATATGACTAATAAAATTTTATCAGTATCCACATTAGAAGCTGGTTTTATGAGTTGACTTATGCTCTAAAGTCCAAATTCTGAGACCATTATAAGTTAATGCTTTGATGATAAACATGAACCATTCATGCTGCTATACCATTGCCACCATCAGTAGAGGGTAGTAAATCATTTTATCATAAAAAACAATGCAGCTAGAATAAACTCTAGAATGCCAAAGGAATGCTCCCTGATGGCATGTCATTCTCAATCGTAGGCATATGGTACACAAGCCTGTAACAATAGTTCATGTTAAGGTGCTTCCTTTCAAAGAAACAAAGACTTGAACATTAAAAATTGGCCAATTTTTCTAAAATAAGGAATGTGATACAGTATCTGAAGGAGAGAATTCATGTAACAAGTAGCTCCTTGGTTTTTCAGTCCAACAGAACCAGTTTCCTTTTTTGAGTGATGTGAGCAGTAATCAGAGGCTTATGTACAACAACATCAGCCTCAATTATACATCTATCATTCACCAGAAAAACTTCTAGCATGATGGTGCAAAAAAAAAGTGATGACTTGCTTGCTAGGTTTGCATAAAGAACTGGTTGTACTTGTAGGGCAAATGCAAATGGCGCAAAAAAAAAAAAACAATAAGCAATATACTACTTATGTGAATTAAGGGAGTAATATACGTTTAAAATGTAACCAAAAAGCTGAGTGAAGAACAAAGGAAAAGTGCATCACAAGGTAAAAATTATATTCTAATATAGTTAAACTTACTGCAATCTGCTAATTTCCCATCTCAACCAGCCCGTCCAGCTTCTTGGTAGTAGGCTTATCAAAATACATATCCAATTATTTGAGATTTCTTCAACTCTATAATTAATAATGGCAGGATATATGTATTTGAAAAACAAACCTGTGGCCAACCATAGTGAATGATTCTTCTGACATTTGATTTGTCAATACCCATTCCAAAAGCTATTGTAGCAACAATAACCTGAATGATAAAACACACGCATACAGCAAACATGTTATTTGGAAAAACTTTTTATGGTTACAGAACATAGGAAATGATTGAAATTATGTAGTAAACACAAACAACATAGGAAAAAACAAGGGTAAAAACAATTCAGATCCATGTCTCGATATCACCAAACTTTCATAAAATTCAGTTCATTTTTTTGGGAGCTTGATTATTTAAAGACTTAAGCAGAAGAAAACAATAAATTACAAAGAAACACCAAACTTGGATGTATGATATGCATGGCAGGGCTTCGAACAGCCAAAGCCATCAAAGTCAGATAACATAGGGGAAGGGGGAATGAAGAGATTTGGTATGCAAAGTTGCAAACACGTGAAACTCAGAAAACCCATCAAAATCAGATAAAAAGATCCATTCATTTATATAATAGTTATGTGAATAGCACACCACATATATAAGAAGATGCAACGATACCATACCATAACTGATAACTGGTCATCTCAATTCAAATAAAACACTTCGAAAACATATCTCTAAAGTATTTTCATGAAACCCTTTATGAACCCTTCTTAGATTAAACTTGGGAAGTTGGAAAAAGAGATTGTGCTCCTAAATTAGTTTAAAACCTAACAAACAACATAAATCAAATGGTGAGTAGGGAGAATGTGCAGTAAACATTTCTTGGATAATTATCAAGCTTGGTTTATGAAATCCAAAATAGAACATGCCAGAATAGTTTGAAATTAAAACAGAAGACAAAACGACAAATAAATTTTAAAATTCTGCTTCCTAGTAATTCATGATGTCTTAGAATTGAAGATTCTCTTCTCAATTAACATGATCAACCTGATAAATTCTAATTCACTACCATCTAACCAAACAAGATATAGAGTATAATATATAACCCATACCCCTGCATTATAAGCAGCAGCCTTCACACCAAACATGCATAGATACTTTGCAATTCTCGAAGTTTCTTTTCTGGTGGGTACATAAATGATTGTTGGTCCGTGTTCCAAAGGCTCTTTAAGAAATTTAAGTCTTCCTACTGGTTTCTTAGGTGGATCAATAGCCTCAGATAATTCCAATCCCTTGTGAGAAAGCTTTTCACCATGGGTAACTGCATTTATAAAATGTAACAATGCATACAATTAGGAATTATGCATGTCAATGTGACTGATTTCCTATATTATTTGCATCAAAATTGCATTCAATTTCTTAACTAAATTATTTGTGATAAATAAAGTAATAGCAATAACATTTGTACCATCTGAGTTATCCACATTTTGAATGACATCAATATCATTTTCAAAGAACTCAACTAACAATTCTCTTCCCATTAAAAAATCATCTCATAATCATCTTGGTTGTCAACCACATCATCAGGAGAAACACCGTCTGTATCAGAGCTACTACAAGCATCGGAGCTATAAGAAACATAATCTGAATCATCTGAGATGAAAGCCTTTTCATTTCCATCAATATTTTGCTTTCTACCATATACTTTAATCAATTCATAAGAGTCTTTTGCATAAGAAGCCTTTGATGTTCGACTATCCTTTACCTATATGAAGCCACAATAAATCTAAAATGTAACAAGATTGTATATTCAAACATGAACGTACGTTATAATTAACAAACTCACCATGAAGCGTAAATTAGATCGAAAAAATGATGCAAGAACAACATTCGTTTCTTTTGCCATGCATAGTGATTTGAAACACTGTCTGTATTAGAGCTACTACTAGCATCGGACCTATGAGAAACATAATCTGAATCATTTGTGATGAAAGCCTTTTCATTTCCATCAATATTTTGCTTTCCACCATATTCTTTAATCAATTCATAAAAGTCTTTTGCATAAGAAGCCTTTGATGTTCCACAATATTTTTTGTCAAGGCCATCAGAGATATATCAAATTTCAGGGATTTTAGCATACTAACACTAAAATTTTCCCCCAGCACAGACAGTCAACTATAACAAAAAGACATTTTAAAATAGGTCTTACTTATGACATTCACAGTAGACTAAAAACATTAAATAAATTGTGAAGTGTGCACCAAACAAAGAACAAATGATATATGCATTATAACCAATCAAAATAACCAATAACTGATCTAAATTTCTTCAATATGCAATTCACAAGTTACATTTACAATCATTTAAGATGTTCTACGTAAACTCATCAATCCAATTCATTTGAGCAAGCCATGAACAATAAGGAAACACGGGGGATAAAAAGCAGACCTATAGTCTAGACAGAAATCATGACCTCAATTAGAAACACAATGTACCTCGTCAATTGCAAATAAAGCAATACCATTGGAATTAGAAATACCATTGTTGATCTATGAGGCAGCAATGCCAATGTTGACCTATGAAGAATCAAAAGGAATCATAATGGTGAATCAAGACAGAGAATATTTCTTGAAAGAAAAGGAAGAACGATTTTGGAAGGAGATGAAGTCTTCTTATTGTTCAAGTGTTCATTATGTCTCGGCAACATCATTGTTACATGATGTTGGTTCCATATAGTATGCATCTGGTCCTACCTTGTTAATAGCAACATAGGAAGTTAGGACCTATATAGGCAACAATCACTACAGATGAAGATAGTGCAGAGATAAATGAAGTCCGTAGACAGTTGGCTGAAACAAAAAAAAAAACAATTTTAAAATAGGTCATACTTATGACATTCATAGTAGACTAAAAACATTAAATAAATTGTAATGTGTGCACCAAACAAAGAACAAATGAAATATGCATGATATCCAATCAAAATAACCAATAACTGATCTAAATCTCACCAATATGCAAACCACAATTTACATTTACAATCATTTAAGAAGCTCCAAGTAAACTCGTCACTCCAGCTAGCCTCAGCAAGCCACAAACAATAAGGGACAAAAAACAGACCTGTAGTCTAGACAGAAATCATGACCCCATTTAGAAACACAATGTACCTCGTCAATTGCGAAAAAAGCAATACCACGACTTTCAACAAGCTTCTGCAGTGGTTGAATCGATCTACAGAACATTGCATTGTAGTTACAAAACATTAAAAGAGTCAAAAAGCCAATTTCTAAGACATGCAATGGACTTCAAGATCAACTTTTATTCATTGAAACTTAGGCAGGCAGATCAAGGATCCAAACCATACCTCAACACAGTCTTTGGGCACACCAAAACTATATACTATACAAGCCTCTCATTACTTTACGTTCAACAGTATCATCAGGTTGCCCCGAGCCAAGAAAGCATGCATTGATTCCATGTTTTGTTAGTTTTAAACACTGGTCATGCATGAAGCTTATCAAGGGCAAAATCACAACCACCACTTTCCAAGACAACAATGCAGGAATCTGAAAGCATAGAGACTTCCCTGTGCCAAAAGTATAATTAAAAACAAATGCACAAAAGCTACGCTACATGGTAAGTAACGGTCTCTTGGTATAACTTCTCTGGCAGTACTTTAAGTGTAGCAAGTTAAGAAGTAAATATGAAATAAACTAAAATTAACTTATGCATAAGCCATATTGTAGAAGTTCTTTCTTATTAGCTTTTTCAAAATCTTCTTTTCTTTCATGCATGAGTCAGTTTTAGTTTATGGGAAAGTTTATTTCATTTTTATTTCCTATTTTTCTCTTTTAAAAGTGTTTCAAGAAAAAATTATCCAAACATGTCCTAAGGCAAAATTATTGAATACTTAAAGAACAAAACCAGATCCTGTTGCAGCAAGGACAAGACAGTCTTTTTGAGCAACCCAAGAACAAAGCCCTCAACAGTAACCATTGGATGCACTGCATTAGCCTTCTAAGTGCCAACAAGGAGAACAACATACAAGGAGCTGTGGCAATAAAAAGATGGTGTTGTTGTAATTATTTTACAACATGAACATAATTAATACCGAAAATAAACATATTCCTCTATTTGTTGGGATTTTTGGCTGGCAGCATGGTTTCTCTGAGGCAGCAATGCCATTGTTGACCTGTGAATAATCAAAAGGAATCAGAAAGGTGAATCAAGATAGAAAGAATAATTCTTGAAAGAAAAAAGAACCTTTGTGGAAGGAGATGAAGTCTTCTCACTGTAAGAGCAAAAAAGATTCTGTATTATGTCTCGACAACAACATCGTTACATGATGTTGGTTCCATAGTATGCATCTGGTCCTACCTTGTTAATAGCAACATAGGAACTATATAGGCAACAATCACTACAGATGGAAATAGTGCGGAGACAAATGAAGTCCATAGATGCATATACATTCTATCATTCAATCTTAAATTATCAATAAAGAAGGTTCAAAAGTTATATTTCTTGAACATGAAAAATATAAATGAGAAAAAAAATTACAAATAGAATAATTGAAAATGAAATTGAGTGAAAGAGAGTGAAATATTAAGGAACGAGTAAGTAAATGTATTGACACAAAGAAACATCACACATATGCTAACATTAAGATATTCATTTCAATTAAATTCCTAATATGAACTATTTGTTACCTTACACAATTTATTATTAGTTGCAATTTTTAAAAAATCACAAATCTTGATAACTACCACATTTCACTTAGATTTATTATTTTCAACAAATTTCAAATAATTTCAATTTTTAGGTTTAAAATATTTTTTGTCTAAGAATCTATATTATTAGTTCAAATTTATTAAAAACCACAAATCTCAGTGGCTCCCACGTCTCACAAGGATTTATTATATTCAATAAGCATCTAAATAAGATTTTTATTATTTTCAACAAATTTCAAAGATTATCCAATACATATTGTCTAACATTCCATTATTAGCTAAAATTTATTAAAAATTATAAATCTCGATGATCCCACGTCTCACAAAGATTTATTATTTTCAATAAAATTCAAGCAATATCAAATATTTTGTCTAACACTATTCATACTTGAAATTCATTGAAAATTATATATCTGCATGACTCCCGCATTTCACAATTTATTATTTTTAATAAGATTCAAGAAATATCAAATATTTGGTCTAACAATATTCAAAGCCGAAATTCATTGAAAATTACAAATCTCGGTGATTCCCGCAACTCACTCAGATTTAATATTTTGAATAAACACCAATATTTTTTTATCTTACCACTATTAATAACGGTAATTTATTGAAAATTATAAATCTCGATGGCTCCTGCGTCTCACAAAGATTTATAAGCAATCTCCAACATTTTTTTGTTTAAGACTATTAATAACTGAAATTTATTGAAAATTACAAATCTCAATGACTCCCACAACTCACTAAGATTTATTATTTTTAATAAATTTCAAGCAATCTCCAATATTTTTTGTCTAAGACTATTAATAGTTGAAATTTATTGAAAATTATAAATCTCGGTGATTCCCGCATCACACTAAGATTTATTATTTTTAATAAATTTCAAGCAATCTCCAATATTTTTTGTCTAAGACTATTAATAGTTGAAATTTTATTAAAAATTATAAATCTCAATGACTCCTACATCTCACTAAAATTTATTATTTTCAATAAACTCCAATATTTTTTAATCATAAAACTATTAATAACTGCAATTTATTGAAAATTATAAATATCGGTGACTCCCGCAGCACACTAAGATTTATTATTTTCAATAAGTTTCAAGCAATATCAAATATTTTGTCTAACACTAATCATAGCTGAAATTCATTGAAAATTACAAATCTCGGAGACTCCCGCAACTCACTAAGATTTATTATTTTCAATAAACTCCAATATTTTTTAATCATAAAACTATTAATAACTGCAATTTATTGAAAATTATAAATATCGGTGACTCCCGCAGCACACTAAGATTTATTATTTTCAATAAATTTCAAGCAATCTACAATATTTTTTGTCTAAGACTATTAATAGCCGATATTTATTGAGAATTACAAATCTCAATGACTCCCGCAACTCACTAAAATTTATTATTTTGAAGAAACTCTAATATTTTTTTATCTTAACACTATTAATAGTTGCAATTTACTGAAAATTATAAATCTCGGTGACTCCCGCATCTCACTAAGATTTATTATTTTCAATAAGATTCAAGCAATCTCCCATATTTTTTCTCTAAGACTATTAATAGTTGAAATTTATTGAAAATTACAAATCTCAAAGACTCCTACAAACTCACTAAAATTTATTATTTTCAATAAACTCCAATATTTTTTTATCTTAACACTATTAATAGTTGCAATTTATTGAAAATTATAAATCTCGGTGACTCCCGCATCTCACTAAGATTTATTATTTTCAATAAACTCTAATATTTTTTATCTTAACACTATCAATAACTATAATTTATTGGAAATTATAAATCTCAATGACTCCCACATCTCACTAAGATTTATTATTTTCAATAAACTCTAATATTTTTTATCTTAACACTATCAATAACTATAATTTATTGGAAATTATAAATCTCAATGACTCCCACATCTCACTAAGATTTATTATTTTGAAGAAACTCCAATATTTTTTTATCTTAACACTATTAATAGTTGCAATTTATTGAAAATTATAAATCTCGGTGACTCCCGCATCTCACTAAGATTTATTATTTTCAATAAGATTCAAGCAATCTCACATATTTTTTCTCTAAGACTATTAATAGTTGAAATTTATTGAAAATTACAAATTTCAATGACTCCTACAACTCACTAAAATTTATTATTTTCAATAAACTCCAATATTTTTTATCTTAACACTATTAATAGCTGCAATTTATTAAAAATTATAAATCTCGGTAACTCCCACATCTCACTAAGATTTATTATTTTCAATAAGATTCAAGCAATATCAAATATTTTGTCTAATACTATTCATAACTGAAATTCATTGAAAATTTCAAATCTCGGTGACTCTCACATCTCACTAAGATTTATTATTTTCAATAAACTCTAATATTTTTTATCTTAACACTATTAACAGCTGCAATTTATTGAAAATTATAAATCTCGGTGACTCCCGCATCTCACTAAGATTTATTATTTTCAATAAATTTCAAGCAATCTCCTATATTTTGGGTCTAAGTCTATTAATGGTTGAAATTTATTGAAAATTACAAATCTCAATGACTCCTACAACTCACTAAGATTTATTATTTTCAATAAAGTCCAATATTTTTTATGTTAACACTATTAATAGCTGCAATTTATTGAAAATTATAAATCTCGGTGACTCCCGCATCTCACTAAGATTTATTATTTTCAATAAGATTCAAGCAATCTCCCATATTTTTTGTCTAAGATCTATAATTTAAAATAAACTCCAATATTTTTTTATCTTAACACTATTAATAACTATAATTTATTGAAAATTATAAATCTCAATGACTGCTACAACTCACTAAAATTTATTATTTTTAATAAACTCCAATATTTTTTATCTTAACACTAATAATAGCTTCAATTTATTGAAAATTATAAATCTCGGTGACTCTCGCATCTCACTAAGATTTATTATTTTCAATAAGATTCAAGCAATATCAAATATCAAATATTTTGCCTAAACACTAATCATAGCTGAAATTCATTGAAAATTACAAATTTCGGTGACTCCCGCAACTCACTAAGATTTATTATTTTCAATAAACTCCAATATTTTTTTTATTTTAAAACTATTAATAACTGCAATTTATTGAAAATTATAAATCTCGCTAACTCTTGCAGCTCACTAAGATTTATTATTTTCAATAAACTTCAAGCAATCTCCTATAGTTTTTGTTTAAGACTATTAATAGATGAAATTTATTGAAAATTACAAATCTCAATGACTCCTACAACTCACTAAGATTTATTATTTTCAATAAACTCCAATATTTTTTATGTTAACACTATTAATAGATGCAATTTATTAAAAATTATAAATCTTGGTGACTCCTGCATCTCAATAAGTTTTATTATTTTCAACAAATTTCAAGCAAACTCCAATATTTTTTGTCTAACACTTAATAGCTAAAATTTATTGAAAATTACAAATTTTGGTGGCTCCAGCATCTCATTAAGATTTATCATTTTCAATAAATTTCAAGCACTTTGAAATTATTTTATGGTCTAACACACTTTATTATAAGTTAAAATTTATTGAAAACCAGAAATCTCGATGGCTCTTGCATCCACCATGACTTATTATTTTCAATAAATTTCAAACAATCACCAATATTTTTTGTACTACTCTATCATTAGCTTAATTATGTTGAAAATCACAAATCTTGGTGGGTCGCATTTCAATAAATTTCACCATGCTTAGGAGGCATTAATGGGTTGATATTTCTCTTTTAAACCTTTTGTTTTCAAAAGTCTACCTTTTTTTATTATTATTATTTTTCATAAACAACAACATAATCCAAGTTATTTAAGTTGTTGTATAACAGAACAAAACAAACCTCAATTGCATCACAGCCCAGAGCCAACAAGCCAGCCTCAACACATATAGCCTTCAGTTGTGCTCCATTACAATCATCTGTAGAACGAGCAAGTTCTTCAATGTTGACATCGGGGTTAACATTCACCCTTCCTTGAATTGATCTAGAATATCAAAGTGAGAGCAGTCGATAAATGTTTTGTTCCAAAAATATGTCGCCAGATAAATTCTGAAGACACTAAACGATAAATTCTGAAGACACTAAACCCATAGAATCCTAGACTTTCTTCAAATGTGCAGAAACTCAGTTTTACGATCCAATTGTGCAGAAAGTATAAGAGTGGGGTAAAGAAAATATGCATAGTTTGTTGCTACTATAACTTACAATTGACAAGAATAAATGAAAATAACTCTTGAATAACATAGTCTAAATGAACAAAATCCAATAAGTTTAGTGCCAACTGTTAAATCTAGCTTATTGATATTCAAGATGTTAACATGTTATAAAACAAATGTGTTAAAAGAATGTCATAAAAATAAAAACAAGTAAAATTATGGGACCAGCCCCTAAACATGGAACTTAGAATATAAATTACTATGATTTAGTACCACAGAAAGCAAAATTATATGAAGCTTATTTATATGACATCAATCAAGAAAACCGGTTGGGTTTCAAAGCTACTTTACAATCATAAATCAGTTTTTTAAACTAATTTTAACAAAATAATAATAATAAAACTTATTTTAATTAAAGACTTGTTGATTTTTTTTAAATCTGTTTGAAACTAATTTATGGTTTATATCATTGTGAAACAAATTTAGTTTTAAAACCAATTTATGGCTCAAAATCGATTTCAAAATCAGTTTAGTTTCAATATATATTTAAAATCATAAACCAGTTGAAAACTATAACCAATTTTTTAAAAAAAATTAATTATAATTGTTTTAAAAACCAATTTGAAATAATAATCATATTTAAAACGGATTTAAATTATAGACACTCTATCCCTCTCTTAATCCCTAGTTAACATCAAATGCTTAAAAAGCAGAGGGACAGTTAAGAGTATGACACATATAATCCATAACATTAAAAGAAACCACCAAAAGAGCCCACAGCCCAAAATGTCCATTAATGAAATAATAAATTCAACTAAATTCAAAAACCAAAACCCTTTAGTCGAGGGTTATAAGCTAATTTTAAAAAAACAAATAATTAATTCAACTATTAAAAATTATCTTATTTTGTTTTCTAAATCAACTTAGACCATACTAATTTATTTTATGGACTAACTTTTTAATTTTATTTTATTTTTATAAAAATATTTAAATATTTAAATTAAGATAAATTGATTTTAAAATAGTAGTAATAATTTAACCAAATTAATTTTTTTTTAAATTAATATTTTAACAATTAAGATAATCACATTTGCTATAAAATTGTGATAAACACGTCAATGAACAAAAAATAATCAATAAAAAACACATAATCTTTCCGCTATCTTTGAAAATATCAAAAGTCATTTTATATTTGATTGCATATTCAAATAATTTATATATTAACAATCTTTGAATCCAATGAGAAGATTTTTAGATACAATGGAGATCATCCATAATGCATACATCAAATATCACATCAACAAGCAAGGGACTAGAAATAGTCAGACAAGAAACTACAACAACCTAGATTATTTTAGACCAAATATAAGAGCCTACAGCCAGAAAATATCGGAAAAGGGCAAGTAGTTAGTCATACATATGAATAGCAAGTAATTCACCTCAAGGTCAGAGATCATCCTCCACAAATGAACAGTCCAATCATTTTGTAGAAAAAGTAGAAAGATTAAACTAAACCTACAGGAAAAAAAATGTTAACAATACTCTTATAATTAAGTAACTTTTAACACAAACATAAACTTTGCAAATTAAATTTTTAATAAAGAATAGTAAAAAAAAATCTTGAAAGTTTAATTTCAAATTACACAATTACCAAAACAATGCTTGAATTCACCGTAGAAAAAATAAACACTTCTTGTACTTCTTGTTAACTTATAATGAAATATTACGGAAACATGATCACTGAAATTTGCATCCTCAGTCATCATATTCCTGTTCTTGCATGCAATCAAAATCAATAAAATAAAATAAAATAAAAAAACACCCGGTCTAAAAACAAGAAAACACAAGTTCAAGAAAGAACCATGACCCAGATAGAGGGATCAAAAACAAGAACAAGAACAGCGAGAGACTCCAGTGTCATTGCACTCCAAACAGAAGAAAACAAGAATCAGAAGAAAAAAAAATATAGAAAGAATGGAGTTCAATTCAAAATCAGAGAAGGACTCCAGTCTCATTGCATTCCAAAAAAAACAGAATAAAAAAAAATCAGAAAAAATAGAAACAATAATCGAGTTCAATTCAAAATCAGAGAATGAAAAGAAATCTCAATCGTGTCTCAATTTAATAGACAAAAGAAGACAAAAGAAAAGAAAGAGATGAAAGAGGTATTGTGTGTGGCGAAATAAAGAAGATCAGATAACAAAGAGGAAAACGAGAATCAGAGAAGGAAAAGCAATCCACTTATCCGTGTTCTTCTGCTTCTTTGTGTTGTCTTACCGTTGTTTCCCTTCGGCCATTTAAACTTCAAAGAGAGAAGAAGCAGACAAAAGAGGCGCGACAAACTACAGAACGCTTAAAATCCTAGTGAGTAACGAACACAAACAATTGAAAAGAGATCGAGTATGATTGACAGTGAAAAACCCAAAATGAGTGAAACAGAGTCACACAATAGTTATAAATTGAGAGAGGGAAGTTAGAGACAACGAGTGAGAAATAAACTCGCACGGTGGAACGGATTGTGAAATCGTTCAGTGGAAGAGAAAAGGTATAAACAGACTTATTTTGTCCAAAAATTTCTCGCATTTATTAGTAAGTTAACTCTATTAAATATTGTTAAAAAATTGGTTACAAAAATTACAACTTAACCGATCAATCCCTATAAGTTTAAAATATTAAAAATCTTTTTATTATTATACTTTGTTTATTAAAATATAAATATAAATATTTACTTTATGTAATTCTAATTTATAAATAATAAATATTTTTATATAAAAATTATATATTAAATTTATTATAAATAAATCTAATTGTTATATAAAACTCTTTTAATCTATTTTAAATTTATTATAAATAAATTTAATTGTTATATAAAACTCTTTTAATCATTGAAATTTTTAAATATATTAATATTAAATTTAACAAATAACAATTGATAAATAAAAAGAATAAGTGATTAAAGAAACTCTTGAAAAACATTTTCATTAAAAAAAGACTTCCTAAACATGTTTAATATAATTCTAATTTATTTATAAATAGTTTTTAAAATCTTTAATATATAATTATTTTTTACAGAAAAATAATCTAAAAATTATATTATTCTACTTTTTTTTTCTTCCTATTTCTTTTCATACACCCCTTTAGCAGTCTCATTTTAAATAAAACAATAAAGGATTTGATATCAAAAATTAAATTAATATAAAGATATAGTTGTCAAATGAATAATCAATAATTAATATTTTAATATTTTTTTCTTCTAAAAGATAAAGCAATTCTATGACGTATAATTGTATAAAATAAATTGAAATTTTCTAAAGTTAAAATTAAGCCATGCACTTAGTTTTCATAAAAGTTTTCTAATTTTTTTTACCAATAAAAATTACAATAATAATTTTAAAGCTCAAACTCCATATCTTACATATATAACGTAATCTCTCACCATTAAATAGACCCTAGTAATTTAGAAGCACTCTTATTTAATTATTCTTTATGCTATAAGTTGTTATGAGAACAATTTATTTAAATTTTTAAAAAAATGAATATAAAATTATTATTTATTTCTTAAAAGATTGAAAATTACATATTTTTAAAAATAATCAATTTAGACAAACATAAAGAAAAATATTTATTTTATTAATGAAAATTATATAAAATAAATGGATCATTAATATATACAGAGAAAAAATTATACTTTGCACCGATTTATGATACATATTAAAAGAATATAATAAATTCTATTTTGTCAGCTTAAAATAATTTTCAAAATAGAAACAAAAAAGGCATGTTCTTTTCTATAAGTTTTCTTTTTGAAAAATAATTTATTCTGGTGAATGATTATATTAGGTTAAACATGTCAATTTAATTCAAGTTCAAAATTTAATCTATATGTAATGAAACAAGTTTAAACCATAGTTTTAAAAACTGGATCGGTCATCAAACCGGTTAGCGTACTGGGTCAGTGAGTCAAAGGATGAACCGGTGGGTCATTAATTGAACCGCATGACCCAGTTTTATTAATTTTTTAAAAAAATATTCATGTTAAATATATTTTATACTTATAAATTTCAATAAATTCATGTCCTATTTTAAATTTCAATTTCAATCTTATTTAAAATTATCTTTCTTTTTATTTTATATAAAGAAATACATAAAAAAATTATATGTTAAATTGTATATTAATACAAATTAAAAATATAAATAATATGTATATATATAATATGCTTGCAATTGATATCACAAAATAATATATGTAATATCTACATAGATATTATATTATTAAATATATACTTTAGAATTAATAATATACTATAAAAGTTGTTTAAGTTGCATATATTACATACAAATACATTAGAATAAGTAATTATTCTTATGTTTAATAAGACTCTTTGTTCTTCTATTAACGGATTTAATTCTCGTTTTTATTTTTGTGGTTTGGGGTTTGTGGTCCATTAAAAAAAATTTAAAAAAAATTGTGGTTGAACTGGTTTGACTCACCGGTTCACTGGTCGAACCGAAAAATTGACAGGTTCAATCCAGTTTGAAACAGGTCGAATGCATAACCGATCCAACTTAAAATTCGAACCTGTTGGACCACCGGTTCCCGGTTCAAACGGTCCGAACGGCCGGTCTGATTTTTTAAACACTGGTTTAAGCGACCCACTAATTAGCTCAACAAAAATATCTACATGCTATACTCTATTACAAATAAGAAGAAAAAAGGAATAGCACAATAAAATTTATAAAAAAAATAAAAATAAAAATAAATAAATAAATAAGATAAAATAATTCTTTGTCTCACACCGGGTTAAACTTTTTGTCAAAGGATTATCTCTCACTTTAATTACACACATGAACACATTTCTAAGAATTATCAAAATAATCTTTTGATAGATCTTTCAGATAAAAAACAATTAGAAACATGTAATTTTTCATTATGTGATTTGAAGATAGATATTTTTATTTAGTGATATAGCTTGATTTGATATATCCTCTAATATTTAAATTAAAAAATTATTTAAAGAAAGATATTTTAATATTTATTGTTTAATAATAATATGAAAAGAATAAAAGTTTATAGTTATAAAGGAAAGAAAAATAGAAATTTTATTGCAATCAAAAAGTTTAAAATTAAAGAAAAGATTACCTTGTAGATATCCGTATCTGCAATGGTGTAATGGTTTTTATCTTCTCACTCACAGGTCTCTTTAAAGACCTCAATGGAAACTCTCTAACATTGCTCGACCACAAACATCAAGAGTGTTCTGCCTCCCATAATACAAGTCGGGGCCCACCAAGGCTTTGGGATACATTTGTACAAATTAAAAAGGTATCAACTATTTTATGATAAAACACCTGTCCATGAGTCTAATTAGAGATTAAAATGAGCATCATAAATGCAAATAAAAAGAAAAAAAGGTGCACTATATTAGCATAGAAAAGCACCTTGTTTGCAACAAACTTGCTGTCTCAAGGTTTCGTTTCTACCTGCTCATTAGATCAACTACATCTTCTTTTAGATAGTCTTTGTGGTGGACCATTAATGCACAAGTGACAGCTGCAGGAAAGGAGGCTCATAAGGAAAGCTACAAAATGAAGGTTAACATGCATTAATAAATGACTCAAACATATTAACTCACTAATGGAATTATTTATATGTAGAGTTACATGAGGGAATTGGGTAGAAGAAGAATCCTTTGGATTATGAGCAATTTTATAATTATTTCTATTTGGAGAATTATTGGTCTTATTTGATTCTGTATGAATTTAGGATTATGAATATATGATTTATTTGTAAAAATGATGCCCTGTGAGAGAGAACGAAATTATAGAAAAGTGCCTGTAGGCTATGTTTTGGAAAAATTGGATTATTTCTGTTCGAGGAATTAATGATACCATTAGATACTGTATGTGTTGAGGATTATAAATATATATTTAATTTGTAAGAATGCTGATCTGAGAGGAAGAACGAAACTGTAGAAAAGTGCCTGTGAGTTAGGTTTTGGAATAATTGGGGGTTTTACTGTTTATGTTAAAATTATATTAAATTGATAATTCTATTGATTATTATATTAATTTATGAATGTTATTATTATGTTAATTGATAAAATTGATGACTTAGATATGAATTGCTTGAGATGTATGAAACCCATTATTTTGGACTTATCTAATGCGTGTATGGAATTGAACTATGAGATGTTGTGTGGAATGTGAATGAGATGTGATTGTTGTTCTTCACACCTATGACCAGGGGTGAGCACGGCCCGAGATTGTTACATGAGTATCGTGAGCTTGGTTAACATGTCAGGGGTGAGCACGACCCTAGGTTAGGGGTAACGTGACCTTGGCACAGT